ATTCGCAAAATTTGGTCGAGCACTTTGAGATCGATCTTGGCAAGGTTGGTGACGAGCTTTCACGTGTAAATGAATGCTCAGATTCGCAAAATCGAACAAGTAATTTGGAAAAGTCACGACGACTTACTTTACCTGCCGTCAACATATCAGGAAATGAACAAGCAAAATTTACTTACTAAAGCATGTCTTACTAAAGCATGTCTTACGAAAGATGAGTCTCAAGTAACCTTAAATAACATGCGAATTCTCCATCTGACCCAAAACGTTATCTCTTCTCGACAATCGCTCAAAGTTACAGTTCGTGTTTTCGTTAACTTAACTGAGACGGACGTCTTCGTCTCATGTTTTCCCTCGTATAAAATGATTGATTTGTACCTTACATGTGCCTTATACAGTGTATAGGGAGACGTCGATAAATGCTTTATAAACAAGTTTAAGTAGCTTTTTAGAAATCAAATCTTGTTTCTTTCGTGTTATGATGTTCAAAACTGAGAGGCACGAGGACGTAAGGAAAACAGAATTCATACCTTGAGTCTGCCTGATAGGAGATATTCCGATGTACATGCAGATGTCGGCAAATGTTTTGTAAACCAAATTAAATAGTTTTTTGGAAGCAAAGCCTTGTTTGTCCCGTGTTATAAGTTGGGGAAATTCCCGGAAACCCCCCTCCAGTCAACGGAAAGCGAATCGAAAGCTCAAAGAAAAATAATTACAGTTGTATTACTCCGGGAAATCCCCGTGTTGTATATTTAGTCAAAACGAAATGGAAAGTTTTAAATGCAGCAATGAGCTGTATATGGGGCTGTTCTAACAGTTCACAAAATCCACAAAGCTTTGACAAGGTACAAAAAAATACTTAGTATGGCGAATATATTGTAGGTCAAAACTATTTCAACCGAGGTTGATTCAGAATTTTTCTTGTGACCAAATCTTTCAAGATTAAAATTATTCATGAGGATGAGCTGTTCCGTGTCTTCTGGGGAATCGATGGGAAAATTCCCACCAACTGATTGACATAACGAAAACGGAATTAAGCTCAGTGACCAATGGACATGCTAAATAGCCAATATTTGAGTTGAATTAATTGGGGAAAATTCCCTTATTTATAGGCTTTAAGAAATCGAACTTAAGGATAATGTTCTACCAATTCAATCATTCCAGTTGTTGAAGTTGCACAGGTTGTGGCTTGTTGCTAACCGACTCCAGTGGTTCGACACGATCATCCGAGACTCTGCTGAAGTATGGCTCAGGTTAGTATTTTAGTCAACGGGTCTCTTTAACTTTTGTGTGCGTGATTATAGCGTTGTTCAGACGGACACATTATAAGCCGACTCGCTAGCTGGATTGGATAACCACGTGCTACAAATTTAGAACCCTTGCTCCGCGTGGAATTAACCGAAAGATGATGTGAACTGCGGAAATACATATTTGAATGAAGATTTGATTGTCGCAGTGTTAATTTCTCTACTCTATGTTTTATTCGTTTCACGGGCTAAGATGAACTGAACAAATTGGCCTGCTCCCAGTGTATGGGTCCTCATAGCTCCGTATTAGAGCACTGCAGCGCTGATTTGGCTCCTACCTTCCTGCAACGTTAGCAGTATAAAACTACGAGAAATCTTCAGCTCAGCAGCAAAAAAAAATGGCTAATCCGTCTTGTTTTCTGTCGTAGATACTTACAGTGATAGATGGAGTGGCTACAGCAGCAAAAGCTTTAGAAAAAGTAGAGGACATTAACCGAGCTTTGGTAAAAGTGAAGGAAGGTCTCCACTCTGTGAAAGTTTCCCAGTTTGACGCGACTCAGGTTCAACGAGAAATTGAGGGCGAACTATTTGACAAATGGCACGAGGGTTGCGAGGTATGAGGTATTCTTGCTGTCATGATCAATGTAAAAAAAGTGCTTCAAATATTAAGAAACGAAAGTACTACACTGAGTGACATCGCAGTCTCCACACCTTGAACCTTTGTTAGTGCGCAAAATTAAATATCTGATATTTTTATCGAACAGGTAATGGAATCTAAAGGTATTGCCATTGAGAGTATCCAAAGCTTCCTGGATCATCTTCAGGACGCTTATGAGGGTATTGATGAAGAGATGAGAAAGAAAATGAACGGAATCGAGTGGGCAAAAGAATGGGCATATAAGGTAATGGAGTTTAAATACAACGCGTCAAGTGATTCTAGTGCCAGGTACGGAATGATAGCGTTTGGCAAATCCAAAGATGGAAAGTTTGTAGACTGCATGTACTGCCTCTACAAGCTGGATTTTAAAGTTGCCCCTGAGAGAATCATCACCAAAAAGGAACATTCAGTTTTGTGGGGTTTGGTCAAATGGGAAAGTGTGGAAGAGAGAGTACAGGAAAGGGTGCTTGGCGTGAAGTCGCTGAAACGCATCAAAAATTTCTTCCGCTTCAAGGCCCTGGAAGGCTTTTACAAAGAAGGTCTCATCGACCGAATTAATGTGGTGCCATCTATTGAAGATGTGGCGGATGACAAGTAGAACAAACGTTTGTGATGCCGAACATTGTCCATTTTAATTGGCATTGATCACAACTTTTTTTGTGTTTGTGAGTGGAAGTTTATTAATACTGATCATAAGTTTAACTAAAACATAATTCTGTCGTATGCTAAGATTTTTTTATGGCAATCATTCCCAAATAATTGTGCATAAGATCAAACCAGTTTCAGGCTGTTTGGCCGGCAATACTGTCCTCTGCAAAATTCTGTTTCTATGGATGCGTATGAACTAGTAGTGAAATTACGCATTGTGTTTACTGGGATCTGAAACCTCTGTGTCAAAATAAGTCGCTTCAAATCTGTCATCGTTTTCAGCTTTCACCACTTGAGGCTTTAGGGGTCAGTGAGATTTCACCTGTAATTTTTATAGTACAGCAGGAATAGTCAAGATAGTAACTGAGTAAAGAAGTCCAATTCTGACATTGTGCTATAATCCACAACTGTGTGTAGATTTCATTGTCGCTTGAAAATTCAGTTATTTTCTATGTTTTGTATTAATTTCCTCACCACAATAATCTTTATGTGAGAAAAATGACTGAGTTACATCAATCTTTAAAACGCACCTAAAACTTATTTGTTTAAATTTAAGTATATTATCAAGTATCTTATTGTCAGCGTTGTGGCCTAACTTCCGTGTTGCATTTTTATTTGCCATTAATAAAGAGTCAAGAATTGTGCATTAAGAGAAAAAAAACTGATCTTTTTGTTCTACTTGAGATAAATAAACCACCACTTAAACGTTCAGAAGATTTCGCCTGCTCTTCTGCTTGTAACCATCCCGAAAAGGAAGAATCCCTCTACTGAGATTGTGGTTTGATGGTGCGTTTTGTTGCCTTGGTTTTTTCAGAATCAAAGGTTAGTGTAAAAAAAAAAAAACATTCCCCTCAGTCGTTCTACACGATTTACATCATCCAAGATGTGCGGAGAAAACGTTGTTCTGCAACAGAGCGGATATTGAATGTTGAGAACGGGGATGAGAAGTTTTTCGAAACCTTGTTTGCAGAGGTCTGACATGTAGACACGATTCTGCAAAAGTGTCAAGAACGAAATGTTCAGAGTCTTGAAACTAATATGTTTGCATGGTTGCCATGTTCATTGCTGCCAATGTTTGATGATTCTCCCGGATGATTCTCTAATGGAGCCCAGTGAGAATCACTAAGGTGAAGTCAGGTACTACTGTGAATTTTGTGACAACAACAACTGAGTCGTTCAAAGTTAAGGCTTGTGTTGCTATTTCTGAACTCTAAAAAGACAGTGTATAAGTTTATAGCATACATAATGAACCCGCGTAGACAGTTCAAACAAAAACAACTTGAAAGACAGTTACAATTTTTTATTGTTGATTCAAACCTGATACAAAACCAAACAGCGGTACATGTCAGCAGTACATCTAGAAATTATTATAGTAAGGGTTTACACAATTTCAACTTGTGTGACAGCAAGAAACTTAACCTTTTTGTTCTTGATGATTGATAATCATTTATTTACCCTTGGCAGTATTTATAGCACTATTACATATCAATTCCAGCTAACGGTCAGGGCGAGACTTGATACTCTAACCGCTCGGCCACGCTGCCTCCTAGTTCCTAGTTTTGCCAGTTAGGAAAAAAACCTCATGGATTTGCTATTTTGATTGGAGTCTAACTGAACTGAAAAGCGTCATAATTCTGTACTAGTTATTGATAGCTGAAAGCGATGTAACATATGGCACGTGATTAATGAAACCTTTACTTTTGAAGGCTTCCATGGCTTTCATACGACAGAAATTTGAGATCTGCTTCTTTGAAAAATACCCGAGGTTCTTTCTGCGGTAATGAACTGACGTGTTGCTCTCTAGTGGTATAAAACCAAGAAACTGAAAAGTCTCTTCTGTTACAACCTTTTCCTGAGCTGGAGTAAAGTTAAGTCTATAAAGGGAGCTAACTGCATCGACTTTCTGGCCGTCGGGGCTTTTTACCAGGCATATTATTCCAAAATAAACCTCACCAGAATCAATGTTGTCACCAAATGTAAACTCGAACACTTTGTGGGACCAAGATGACGCCCATCTTATTCCTTGAATTTTGCTTCTGATGTCGAAGTTCACACCGCGATACTGTTTTTCCAGTTTGGAAACTAGCTCATCTAACCTATAAATGGACAATTTTCTGGCCTCCATGACTTCACAGGTCTCATCCCACTCTGAAAAGTACTCATTTCTGAGTCTGTCTTGGACGGCAATTGCTTCTTGCTTGCAGACTTTCACCCTGGAAAGTGCGCTTTCCACATTTCCCTGAGCACTGTTCTCACCAGAACACCATCCTGATTGGTCCGTTAAAATCTCGTGAAGATAGTCCGGTTTTGCAGCAGGATCGACGCCTAAGGTAAACACCGAGCATAGATGAGCTTTCAGTTTTAATAAGTGAGGTTTCATCCACTTCACATTTTCAATGTTTTACAGTCTTAGTTTCAGGTGGCATTCATATGTTTTCTTCATTCGTGTTGGCGTTCTCTTCTTCCTTATTTCATAAAAGTGTAATTGTGGTATTCAAGTTGACCCTTTACTTAAAAATTCACAGTGTAACGCGTTCTTGATCTACAACTGGCTGAACTTCCACTGTTTTCAGTTTTCCAAGCCATCAGTCAACTACGTCATTCAGTATTGGAAATCACAAAGCAGACTTTGAAGGAATTTTTCCCTTTAATGTTTAATCCAGGTAATAAAAGTGAATCCCTACCTTCCTCAGACTAAAACAGCAGAGTTAATCTTAGATAAAAAGTAGTTCTTACCTTTGTAGTCGACCACGTGAGAATGAGTTGAAGTTTCGGTGTTTCCCATAGTGGTTCAGTTTCTCTAGATCTGGCGAACAACACAAAGATGGGGCAAAAGAAGGCTGCTGCACGTCTTATATTTTTTGAAAACCAATGACAGAGATAATAATCTGAATTAAAAAGAAGAGGAAATGATTACGTTAACCCACCGACTGAATTGCAGTTAAAGGCAGCATTACACGGGGTAATTTTTCCTGCAATTTCGTCTCGCAACGAAAATCAGGAAGCTTATTCAACATTTTCTGTAACTCGTCTTGCAATTACTCGTTCCCTTGTAAGTTACAAAAAGGCATCTTACACACGAAGTTTCTGTTGCATTTTGTGTCGCAACGCCATTGCAGGGAAAATTGCCTTGAGTAACATCCACTTAACACTCTGGTTTTTGCTGACCCGCCCGCCTTAAAGAGAAGTCCTCGCAGGACATTCCATGGTCAACAACCAACCACGAGTGATGTTAGGTGTTTCCTCAGCAATTACACCGGCCTAAGCTTGCTGTTTTTCCCCACAGTGATGCTTTTTAGGATATGCCCCAAAAACACCCTGCAACTGAGCGCCTTCTTTTGTCTTCTTGAGTAAGAAGGAGAAAAAAAGCTCTGCCTGAATCACATCAAAGCTTTGAAGTCACCTCAGCCCGAACTAACTAGTGGACTAGTCAATCTTGTTCTCTCTGCCGGTCGAACTGGTTTTTTTCTTTTTTTTCAAGAGCGAGCATCCGTTTATTGATAAACCCATGGTCATAACTGAGCCCGCTGTAGCAAGCACACGGCTATTAGGCTTGGGTTAGAAATTATATATTCTGGCAACAAGCGCGCATGCGTCTTTCTTAAGTACGCCAAAATTGAACAAGCAAAAGAAAGGCTTTGCTGGCAGAGTGCCAGTGAAGAAATACAGGGACAAATCCTTTCACTTTCGAGTTTCTTGTATTTTAAGCTAGTTGTCGTGTAAAAGGTACATTAAAACAATTCTCTTCCCGTCCCATTATTGATATATATTATACTGGGGTTTCTGACCTATTTTTGCTTCTCGAAAGGTTACCATAACTATTCATTTCTACATGGGACAAGGGTCCATGCGATGCAGTATTTACTGAGGATGACTAGCGGAACGAATGAATAGGCTCAAACAGTAAAAACAGTGACTCCTCTATTATTACATGCACCTGACAGTGTAATGATACACTGAGCGGAAGAAAGAACAGAATCGTCAGCCAGGTCAGAAAACGGCTCTAAATTTTCAGCGAAAAATGCACGCACAGATGACACCGTTTTAGCCTCAAAGTGACCCACAAAAAGAAAGATTTATGCAATCCGTGTTGGTCAGCTTTACGCCGATGACAAATCGATCCATTTTTAGAGCTGCGATGACGTAACGGCACTGACACCGCGCAGAGACTTCGTGGAAAGTGGTACTTCGCTGATCACTTTTGCCCATTTGGTTCCATTCATTTGTTCTTAGTGTATTTTCCATACAAACTGTCTATTTTCCATCTATAGTCTGATATTACGCCTGGGTTGCTTGTTGTGCTTATAAAAGGAACAAACAATAACAACTATCGATGGGATTTTTCCCTTGATTTTGCCCCCGAATAACAATTGAAAGATTTTCAATCACTATTCTTCGTCAATCATCATTAAGACAGCTTTACACGTGGCTGCTACCTAAACCAAAACTCGGTTCTGTCGGGGCGAAAGCATGAAAGCAACATCGTGAAAACTATCACTGTCTATAGGTCAACTTTCAGCTCCCTAGAAATGTTTAGATTCGCAGAAATCGAAAGTTACCTCAACGAGTCACAGTGGCTGACGTTATCAAACCCAGCTTATCAGGAACTAAAAAATCAAGGGGTGTAGTAATATTTTAAATATTAAGTCTGTTAAGGTATTAATCGTTTCGTCAGCCGTAGAAAAAAACCTGTAAGATCATATCACTTCGTACAAATATGAAGGCCGTAAATTAATGTAGCCTCCTGTAGAACTTCCGTCTTCGTTGTCTTACTATAAAATTGATATTTTTACAAATGCACATTCAGAGCCATTTGTTCTAGGAAAAACGACAAGTCTTAAGTAAGACACAAGCTTCCTGTTTTTACTTTAGAAGGATCAGTTTAAACGCCGAAACTTTTCCTGTGCCGAACCTAATGCTGATATGTTGTCGCTCATTTGCATGCAGTTC